GCACAGACAATGAGTTGGCAAACTTGCTTTCAAAGTCAGTATTATTAGGCATTCTCTTCCCTTGATGGATATGAACTGAACCACACATGTCAAAGACACCAGGCTCTGTACTAAAAGCGGCTGATGACTCTCTCACCCTGCTTACTCAGCCAGTTTAAGATGAAATCAAAAAGAGGAAGGGCCACAGTGGGGCCACTGAGGCTGGCTGGCAAAAGGAAGGCCTTGAGGTGGTTACCCTAAAGGAAAGAAGGATTCGGGATTTAAAAGATCCTATGGTCCTTTTGTTGAAGAAAAGACAGCCTTTGAGACAGCAGGAAAGGGAGCACGAGCTTGGATTTAATGAACCAGAGACTGGGTAGGACAGGTCAGGAGACAGAGCCACACTATGTTCATGGGCACCAACACTGAAAGGGCTCAAAGATTCATTTATCATCACACATGTAAGAAATCTCTACCCTCTTCCACAGGCACAGGGTGCAAAACATTTAGTTCTGTCTTTTCAAATGTCCAATGTCTTGCATCAAGAGTAAATCATAGCATGTGAGTAAAATAAAGAATAAAAAAATCATCAGGACAGCTACAAAATAAAAAAAAAAAGCAAAGAAAGGCTGAGGGTTTAATTTACTTTATTACCCATGTGCCTGACGGGAAGACATCTATCTAGATTTTTGTATTTACTAGCAAAATTAGCATAATGGGTTACTTTTGTGCCTAATCTCTATTAAGAAATTTCATATATACAAGAGTACAGCATAAAATACGTATTAGTTTATAAAAACACACCACCATTGGACTTGGTGGCTGAATAAAAGTATTTCTCAGGTAAAAGTTGCTACTCTCTAAGCTCATAACTGAGAAAGCAATATTTGAAAAGCTAAGTTCCTCAGAGAAAGCTGCTACATAAATACTATTACTATTAATGATAATGATAGTATGATTTGCAAAAAGCTCCGTCACATGTTTCTGGTACTGTATGTGTTTTTTTTTTTTTTTTTTTTAATAAGAGTAGTATGTAAAAACAATACTTCACTCTTAATTGAAAAGTAACATTTTAGTTTTCTAAGTTTAATTCTAGGGACAGAGTACAGAACAAGGAACGAAAGGGATTCCTAGAAACTGCATTAGCAGCAAGTCTGTGTTGTTTCATTTAACTTCAGCTTCAGTAGTCAAGTCACAATCTTTGGCCAAGTTCCCTTCTTTCTGTACATTCAAAGAATCTTTATATAGCTAAATGGACCATTAAATCCTTCAAGAGTCATTCAAAGGAAGCACTTCCTCTAAATTCTTTCTCATCGCACAAGGCACATGCATGCACAACAGAAAATGCATTGAAAAGGATGCAAATCCTCATATTCCAGCTCCATGAATCCTTCCATATGCAAAACGGCATCCTCTCCAACCCACAAATGGTTTCGCTGTTATTTTCAATATTAACAACCAATATTTGAAAGCTCTAAGGACAACTGGGGAGAGCATTAGAAAAATCGACAGAAAAAATATATATTTAACATAAAACGGGAAAGGGAAAAAAGATACGGCCAGAATAGAGAAGAGGAATGTGGCCCATTTTTCTCATCAAGGTTTTACATGTCTTTTTCTGTGATGCTGAACTCTTTTCCTGTTTCACCACCACGCTATGTAACAGTTTCTGGGCAGATTCTTTTAGGTCCTCCTGCAGAGGAAAGACATGTATGATCATATTTTAGTTGTTAAAAAGGCCAGTTCTCTGGCAATGGTCACAAATTCAAGCTTCTGCCATTTTACAGAACAAGATGGGGTGCCAGGCAGTGAGGAGACATGCAAGGAAAATCAGCCCCTGACAACAGCCAACCTTCACATGTCTTTTACCATGGTGAGTGTTAAGTGATGCAGACCAAGCTCTCTCCCTGACAGTGACACAGCACAGAGAAAGCTAGCGCACCCTCGGGCCGCTTCCTTTACCTCCCGCTCAAAGAACAGCACACTTGTTTGTATAACACAGCAATGATATGGCATACAGGGCTGCAGAGTAAAGATGTGAGCAGTTCTGTGCTAAATGTTTCATTTCAGTTCTGTTTATTCCCTCTATGTTAGCTCTCTGTAGGAAAATTATTTTCTGTATAAACAAATTCATCAAGTTAACTTATTCAAGGATGGAAATAACTGGTATCACATAACATTTTGCAAAACAAAATTGCCACTGTTGTATTCCAGTGCTTAAAAGCAAACTGCTACGGCAATTCAAATCCAGTACTAACATAACCCAAACCCCCTATTACCTTCATCACTGCATATTCAATTTACATAATTATTCTACTATGCTATTCAGAATTTACATGTAGTTGTATGCACTCTAGTTATCCTTGCTCCAGGGATGCTGTTTCCTTTCTACACTTAGTATAACAACACTACAACGCAACATACTCAATTTATCAGATCAAGAGAAACAATGAGGTTCAACAAAATAATGGTCTGGTTTGTTAATTTACTTAAAACTTCAATTCAACTACCGTATGCTTGGACAGCCATCCCTGTTTGACTGTCAACAACAGGGAAGTTCAGGAATGTCCTTACCACACTTCACTGTAAATCAGCAGTGGCCCTATAAGTGATCAAGTAACCAGGGCCAACAGAGGTGCCACCAACACTCTTTATGCCCCGCTCCCCAGTGTAGCATCCTAAGTCTTTGGGCCACACTGCAGCAGCTCCCGTTTAACCTGTAAATCCATAGGCTCATCAGATGTGTTCCATCCAATTATTTTCACACCACTTAGGGTAAAATAACTGTTGCCTAGAGCAGGCATTGACTGAGACTATTAGTCAAAAGCGGCAAGAGTGGGGAAGGTATTAGACACTTTTTCAGAGAAAATACACCCTTTTCTTCCTACCAAAAGCTTGTGGTTCTAGTGCAAAGCCAATACTCAGATTCATCAATGCCAAGCACTTACTCTGCACAGACTCTGATTCATACTTCAGAGTGGATAGCAAGCCTATGAGGCTTGCACTGAACATTTCTCTAGTGGATAAACACAGGGTCTATATCAGCACCAAGAAGACATGGCATGCCTGGGACTAACTACATTTGGTGCTCCAACTTTCAAACAGTTTCTTACAGTTGTTGGGAAAATGTTAACAAATTTCATTGTTAAATACAGCATTTTAATATCTGCCCCAAAAGACTCTACAAGAGGTAAGGGTATGTATGCTAAGTAAGTTTTTAAACAAAGAGCCAGTCTGATGTTGATTCAGAACTTGAAAGGATATACTTGGAAATTCGTAACAATATCCAATACAGAGCGTTATTTTCTTTTTTTAATCCATTTTTACCATTAGGTGATAAATTTAAAAATTAAGATGAAAACTGGAATCAGATATATAACTTGATGCTAAGATTAATACTGATGATGTATTTCCTGAGCTCCAAAAATGGAACAGACTCCTATGTTTTAAGTTAAAGAACACAGACTCCTATGTTTTAAGTTAAAGAAAAAAGATTATATTCTTTTTAAGATTTTTGCTTCGATTTCTTTCTCCTTGGGAGAAATAGGCTTATGCTTTCTCCTACCAAAAGCATAATACTTAGATTTAATTACTTATTTTTTAAACTACCTCACAAAGTCAAACTAAAATTTTACCCATGTCTTTCTTCCTCACCCTTATATCCCTAACGCTTAAAACAGTATGTGCAAATAATAAGCACTTAATATTTCTTAAATAAAAACAGATTTTATAATGTGTTAAGTTTAAAAACATGTTCACAAAGAGGGAAAAAAAAGTGATGGTTTTCAATTAGGAGACCACACACTGAGGCATCAAAGAAAATTCACGAGTAAATGCAAATATTAAGTTATCTGTAAGATTGAGCTACTGAATGTAATTCAGTTACTTTGGCACCATAAAAGGTATTGAGGGCAAAATTTCCTAAATGGCTATGATTCAAACTTTTAAAACATCAAATAATAATGTATTTGGAGTTGTTTAGATTATTTTTAGCAGGAAGTTGCAAGTCCAAGTTTGTCCTTTCACTTCAAGGCAACATCTTTTTAGCCACAAAATTAATCTCCTCTGTTTGTGTACTTGGGCATGCACACACAGAGCAGCAATCTCAAAAAGTTCACAGGAAATGCAGAATTGACTGGTGCATGCACAGGTGTGTGTTTACATGTGCACATGAGGGTATGGGGTGGGCGTGTTTTCTAATGGAGTTTGCAAACAGATTCAGATTAACCAAGGCTGACCATAGTTCCATCTGGAAACTATATTTTCTAACATGAGCCACATTTTGAAAAATAGATTCAGATGTCTGGAACTGGTTCAGAACAGTTGTAAGAAACATTCACTACAAATGAAAAAAATTAGTCTTCAATGTCTTCTCCTCTCAGCTTTTCTTACTGAATAAATATGCTTTTTGGGGGAGCGGTCAGAGAACTGATGGGGGGAGTATGGAGTGAAAGAGGGTCTTCTCTAGAACCTAAAATTCATGCTACTCTTGAATTCGTATCCCATGGACAAGTACTATTTGATTTCTCTTGCGCTGCTCACTAGGATTTCAACCCTGCTCCTGGAAGGCTTACTCTGCCAAGTAGAGAGAATTAACAATCCTAGTTCAACTTCTGGGAAGAAGGGCTGAAACGCTTAGTGAAATATAGTGACCTTTCTTCTATAATCCTTCCTATCCAGTTTTATATCATCACTGAAAATGAGGTTGCTAGTCTATTCTTACAAATAATTATACTGCTAACTTCATTCCATTTGCTAAATAAGTTTTCACAAAAATATAAAAAATTGATTTTTAATTTGTATCTAGTAAGATCTGTAAATCAACAGTTCACAACAATACGTCCTAACTTTCAGAATGCATAAAAGTCTTAGCTTTTTAGTTTGGGTATTAGGGAAAGACGCTCAATGATGACAAAAATCATTGTGTCCCCTCCCACCCCTCATTTCATAGGCTGTAACTATTTGGCGCTAATTGCTGTACTCTCAATGTTTTGCAATTGTTGTTTCTGCCCACAGCCTACCTTGACTTTTTGCTGGATTTGGGTTTTGGCGTGGCAGTTTTTGCTTTCTTTTCCTTTGGCTCTTTGGGAATCTTAGGGGCTTTCGGGGTCTTGGGTTCCTTGGGCTCTTTTTTCTCCTTGGGTTCTTTCGGTTCCTTCGGATCTTTTTTTGCCTTTGACCTTTTCTTTTTCTTTTTTTCTTCTTGGGACCCATCCAGTGAGTTCCTATTTAGTTCTTGGTTATCTACCCCACCAGGGAAGTCATCTTTACCAAAACCTTTACTGGGATCCTCTGCTACAATGTGGTTGTTTTTCTTTTTCTTCTTCTTTTGTTGTGGCTGCTGTTCTATTGATGGCAGGTAATCATCACTCTTCACTAGCTGAGCATTCGGTCCACTAACCTGAGTCATATCCGGCACTGGTTTCTCTAGAAAGGGCTCCGACGGCGAATGCTAAGAGACACAAATAGCAATTGAAATTAGTTTATCATTCTTCACAGTAAAGAAAAGAACTGAAAGTTAGTGGCTGATGTTTCTGAAACTTATTCTATACTTAAGTAGAAAATATTTTTCCAACTATACAGTTGTAGAATCTATCATCTTCTCACATCCAAAAAAAAAATATGTTTCTTTAAGAGACAATCTTTTAAGTAAGAAAGTTTTAAAATAGCACTTTAGTTAATACAGTAAAAAAATCAGTTCGGGAAGTAAAAATTAATCCAACTTAAGACACTGTCCGTTTTTTAAACAGCCTACATGAAAATAGTGAATGGTAAAACAGCAGCAAAACTAAGCCACAAAGAATACATCTAAGTTGAGTTCTAGCCCCATGTGGGAATGGGAACTCAAATTAAAGGTATATAATTTAGCCATTTTTAAAATGAGCAAGTATACTGAACATTTCAAGATATTCTAGTACTGTGAAAGTCTGAAATAAAAGTGTAAACATAATATAAATCTTACACAAGTCATTTCTGGTTTAAACAACATTAAAATATCAAATTAAAACCACATACCCAAACTTGATGATTTTGGGTTGGTGAAATTTCTTGCATTGACATGAAAGGTGGAACATGTTTTTCTTAACCTCTTTAAGCTTTGTATTTCAAAATTTCACCAAGGGAGAGATAACCCAAATAAATTAATGTGACATGCCTTTGGGAGGTTCTTGACATCCACTAGGGATACACCCAGACACTATCTTAAATAGAGTTGAAAACTAACCACATTTAGGATGGGATTCTTAGTGGTCAGCCAAGATCGGAGGAAGTGACTCCTGCACACAACAGCCTCCCTCATAGCTCACCATCCAAACCAGAGCAGGGCTGCCTGGATTATCATCTATACCATAAATTATGACATCTAACGAACATTTACATTTCAACAAAATTCTTGAAAATATTAAATCTACATATGTCTCTCATTTCCTGCCTTTTTCATATGCTGCTTCTGGCATGCAACACTAATTGTAATATAAACGATCTACTATGTGCCAGGCATATATGCTTTATGCCGTGGTACCATTCAATCCTCACACCAGCCCTAAGCGTTAGGTGATTCTTCTGATTTTATAGTTGAAGACACTGCCACTCTAAGATGAAGTAATTTGCCCGAGGAGGTACAGATGTTAAGTGACAGAACTGAGACTGACATCAGAGCCAACAGTTCCAGAGTCCTCACTCCTCAGCACATGACCTACAGAAGAGGAGCAGGCAGGTGAGCCCAGGCCCGCATCTCCAGAGCCTTGTGACTACTGTACACGCCAAGGCTTACTATGAGAAAAGGAGGAAGGTTAGAATTAAACATTAAAGTATAGGTACTGTAAATTCAATTCCAATACATCTAATATTTATTGAGCAGCTATTTGATGCCATGCACCAAGCTACGTTATGTTTGCTAGATGTGTTAATTCCCCTGAATCTCACAACAAAAAAGTGATAATTTACCCCCATCTTTCAGAAAGGAAAAGTCCAAGAAGGTGATGTGGCCACCCCAGGTCATACAGTTAGTGACAGAGCTAAGATTTGAATCTAGTTTCCTAACTCTAGTACTTTCTGATTCTGTCCACCTCTTCCTAACATCTTCTACACAGCATCTTTCTGGGAAAGGCTCACAGGTTTCACTCAATTGCCCTGGTGTAAGAGAAAGAGCCCAGAACTCTGAGTTAAGAGATTAAAATTCAAGTACAGGCCCTACCATCAGCTATATCATCTGAGAAAAAATCACTTCGCCTATCTGGAGTTAGTTTCTTTTTCTGCAAAATGACGGTTTGGGGTTAGGTGATTGATAGGTGATTTTCCAAGTTTCTTCTAAAATCCGGTGGCATTAAAAAATCTTAAAGTACTTATTGCCCTTTCCTGGTCACAGCTAAGGGAGAATGAGGCTGAAAAAAGAGTAACGATACGTAGGAAACACAGAGGCAAGGTCAAAGTTTGAAGAAGAATACACAGATGTAGATCTACATGAGCAGATTTCCATGCAGGGATAACACAGCTAACTAAACACTGCCAAAGTTACCCCCTGCCCCTCTATCCTTTCCTCACAAACACTCTTACACATCAACAGAGGCACTGTCCAAATTATCATTACCTAAGTATCAAGGGGACTTGATTTAACTGTTTTATATTTAGTTTGCATAAGTCAAGTTAGTTTGTACATATTATTTCCTAATGTAATTAAAAAGGAAAAAGCCCTGTATTTTTTGCACAGGACACAGAGATCAAACTTATTTGGGACAAGCTATTTTTCAGGAAATGAAAGAAAAAGTTGTTCCTGGAAAGAGAGGAAAAGAGGAAAGTCTAAACAATGATTAAAACTTAGAATGGAGAAATAATACCAGGTATGTTTACCTTTCTTTAATCTGCATGGCATTCGCTCCAGTAATGGAACACCAGCTTCTAATGAGAGATTCCCCGGTACACAGTAATGAATTAGAAAAAGCATAAAACACGTAACACAAAAAGATTTAAAGTTTATCTACACACTTTAGCATACAAATCATGTTAGATGCTCCTTTTAGTAATAAATGAAGCCATAAATTAATAACTCAGTAAAAAATTTAATCTTGCATAAGGAGGAAAAAAGTGAAGATCAAATACAAAAAAAGTATTAATTCTATTTGATATGCAGCAGAATTATGTTTTGGTACTATCTGAAATAGGGTGAAAAAGGTGCTCAGAAATATTATAGTGTTTACCAGACCCACATCTCCTTAAATCTTTTAGAGAAAAGCTGTTTTTGTAAACATTTAACAAAGAACAGATGGCCTGCCTTAATCATGTGGGGAAAAAAACCTGGAGCTCCCAGTAATACCCTGACAAAGTCTCTCAGGCCCAGCCATGTCCCCCCCTCCACCCCCCACCCCACCAGATGCATGGTACAGTCTTCTCTAATGCTATTTAATTTTACAGCAGACATTTTCCCATCAATTCCCACTGCCTGACAGGTAATCAATGCCATTAACATCTGATATTACCATGTAGGGCATTCCTAAAACCTCTCATTTATTAGAGCAAACATGGAGAATGTTAGATACCGAAGGTATTTTTAAATAACATCCTGTCAAACTTTCTGCTTGACATATATTCTACTATAATTCCATATGCCATTTGGAACATTATGGAATATATAAAGACTGCCATGAACTTTTGGAACTTAAACAGCATAACTGATACTTAAACTATAAATAAAAACGATCTAAGGTGAGTGTGTTTTGTTGAAAAAATTACCATAAGCTAAAGACAATTATTCGTTTCTTTAACTCCATTGTTCACAACATATAAATTAGAAAAGACATACAACTAAATTATCGTATATAAAACAGCAGAATGGACAAGATGCAAATTTAACCAAAGGAGATCCAGTGGGGGAAGTGAGGGCAATCCCTCTGCTTCTTTCAAGCAAATCCAACCCAAAATGATAGGAGAATCATCAAAGAAAATGAAAAGATATGTAAAAAAGCAACTTTTTATTTATCTCAGTGTGATTTCTTCCACAATTCATCAGTATTTTCTGGCTTAAAAAGCTATCTAATTTTATCATGTTTTGCCTTAATTATACTGCTGAAGCCTCAGCCTGTTAGCAATTTTGAGTATAGCATGAGCAAGTGATGCAATGTTAACAGTGTGTGCCATGCTTTCAACATGTATGATCTCTGCAAACCAACATTTTGTAATCCAGGGCACCCAAGGATAAACATTTTATTTACAGACAAATGTATTTATTTACATGTGTATTTACATACAAACAAGTCTAAAATCAAAACAATGCTCTATAGAAAAAGAAAAGACGGTACCAAGGGACCAGAATAACATGGTACTTATGAAAACAAAAGCCTCCCCACAAATTAAGCTAAAGGGAGGCAATGAGGAGGAGGCACTTGTGCTCTCAGAGAAAATAAGATTCTGGTGAAGAAGAGGCAGGCCAATTAAGTCCCAAGAAGCACAAATACAAGCTTTAAGAACACTAAACTATTGCTTAAATGGCTCATGAAAATACAAATATCAAGTAGTCATTTAAGATTGAAACGTACTATTTGGTATCTTAAAAATGGCTTTGGAGACACATTTTTATTACAAACATTCTTAATTTTTATTTTTTCCAGTATTCCCCAGGTTCTTGACCCTTCTACACTCTTCAAAAAAGGAATTCTGGTATGAAAACTGACACTTGATCTTCAGCCAGAAGAGTGTGCAATGATTCAAAAGAACATTTAGCAAAGTTTCAGCAAGTCCTACTGAGATTGTAACAATGACACTGATAAAAAAGAAGATGCATTTGGTATCTAGTACCCAATTCATGTATTTATTCAACAAATATTTGAGGCTCAACAGTAAACAAGGCAGCCATAGTACCTGCTGGGAAAGACTACAGAGCACCTAACCCAGGCTGAGACCAGGGAGGCTTTCTACAAACTGTCCCAGGCTAAGAGACAGGGGGAGGCAAAGGAACCAGCTTGAACAACAAATCCTGCCTAAGACTGGGTGACTGCAGACATGCAAAGGCTTCACAAGCAAGCTTTTAAAATCTGCTTTGTAAGGGAGGAGATCAAGATGAGCGGATAGCAGTTTGAATGGTCAATTGGGATAATAAACTTTAATTATTTGATATAAAATAAAAAGCACAAAAATATTCTTAAGAGGATCAAGGACTGAATTATTTTCTGCTTGGTTAAAAATCAGTATCAATGATACTCAGGGCCCTGAGTTCAAGTCTTTTTATATGCCAGTTAGTTTTATTCAGCTCATTCTTAACACTTTCCAGGAAAACATATTTATATTGAATAACTATATGAATTAATTGAGAAGGCAAAGAGTACAGAACAAGTTAAGGATATTCAAATGTGTCACATAAAAACAGGTCTCAGGTAACATGAATTTAAAGAATTCTGTGACAGGCTAAGCGTGGTGGCTCATGCCTGTAATCCTAGCACTTTGGGAGGCCGAGGCAGGCAG